AGGCAGGACAAAACCAAGAAACTTTAGAACCCATCTGCCTCCTCTTCTGGCCTTCATTACATGGAACACATGGTACACTTTCATACATGCAGGCCAACACTCATACACATAAAATAAAAATAAATAAAAGAAAACATTTTAAAGAAACCCCCCACTGACACACCCACAGGCAGATGTGATGCAGGCAAGCCCTCACTGAGACTCTTTTTCCCAGGTGATCCTACATTGTGTCAAGCTGACAGCACTAGCAGTCATCATATCAACTGAGTCACATTAGGCTTTTATACTTTATGAATTTACTTTACACATTATTGTTTGAGCTGAATGTCAAGAACATGAAGGTGGGTCCTGAGGCCCAACCAATGTTTCCTAACTTGCTGCCTCCCAATTCCTAGAAAACAGCACAGTCCAGAGTCTATTTGGGTGGGCAGCCATGTATGCACAGTCAAAGAACATAGCTAGTGAGAAGTGGCCTTCAACCACTTGGTCTAAATCTTTTCACTTTGTAGGAAATGAAGCTGAGGTCTGGTGGTCACAGGACCATCTCTGAATCAATTTTCTACTTTTAATGTTCTAGTGCTGGGATTGAATGCAGAGCCTCTGATATACTAACACACTAGACAAGTGCCTTACCACTTACATATATCCTCTAGCCCACGAATCAACTTTTCATTTCATTCTTCAGAGGCTCTGACCATTTATTCTGCCAGACATAATCAGACAGAACCAAAAGGCCAGATGTGCATACTTGTTTAGTGTAAGATGAGCACTGGAAGAGTCAGGAAAACTAGATACAGAGAAAACGCCAATGTGGGTTCAAACACAGGTGAGAAGAACTCCCAAGCTGATTTTGCTGTATTCAACCAGTCACAGAGATGGATGGGATGCTACAGGATAGCCCCCACACTTCCCAAAAGGGAACACATCACCTCAAGGTCACCATAAGGGAAATCAAGGTTAAGATATGAGGCTTTGCACTAAGCAGTTTACAGGGAAGATTAAGTGGTTCACGTGTTGGTACCAAACTCATAGTCCTATAAAAATAGAAGCCTAGATGTGCAAGACCTTGAGGTCCATCTCCAGCACCCTAAATAATCAAACACTGAAAATAAATAATATGAAAAAAGGCCTACAGCAGAAAATGTCCAAATTTCAGAAAACTACAGGTCCGAACATGCAGAAGCCAACAGAAAAGAAGCAGGAAACGAGATTCACGCAGGTAACTGTGCTACTCTTTAAAGTTCTTTCAGGACCAAAAGCAACATTCAAAAGCCTGAGAATACCCACAGGCACTTTCAGCGGCAGCTCATCTCCCAGCAGTGCAGCCCACGCCGTACAAAATCGGAACGGTAACCGGAACACACACTTAGGAAACACCACTTTAGGGCCTGGGAGGTTGCACTCCAAACCCAGTCCCTGCACATTCTTTAACACTAAGTTACGTTCCCCGGCACCGACAATTACTTCTCAAGTTTTCATCCTTTCCGCCGGACACTGCTTTTATAAATAATTGTTTTATTTTGGGGTGCAGCTTGCATATGTGGGGGATCAGAGGATGACTCTGTGAGTCAGTTTTCTCATTCCACCTTTACTTTGTTTTCTAGGATCAAACTCGGGCGGCCACACTTGCACAGGAAGCAGCTCTCCCTGCAGAGCCACCTGGACATTGGGCATTGCTTTAAAATAGCCATCATCCACACTTTATCAGAACATAATTGACACATGGAAGCAGTCTTAAAAAGTGAAAGATGAATCAATGATTTTGATTATTAGCTTCTCCTCTAACATTGATCTAAGTATTATGTGCCATGGACTATGCATTAGAATCACCTGGAGAGGATTTTAAACTCCTAAGGTTCCAGCCCCATCCCAGGCCAATGGGATCCAAATCTCTGGTGAGAGATCCAGGCTTCGGTACATTTTAACACTCCCTGGGTAAAGGTTTCAACTGCAGCCCAGTTAGGAATCAGCTGCGCTATGGGGAGTCTGAATTTTGAATATTAAATATTCTTCATTAGAGCAAGATAAACTAGCATTCCTGGGTGAGAAGAGAGCCGTGCCCTGAAATGTCACCCTCCCGAATTACAAAACTGTAACTCTTTTTTTTTTTTTTTCTTTTTTGGTCTTTTTGAAACAGAGCATCCTAGTTTGTCTCACCATTGCTGTGACAAAACACTGAACAATACCAACTTGGGGAGGAAATGGTTTATCTTACATATCCCGGATCACAGTTCTTCCAGGAGCCCAAGGTAGGAACTCAGGGCAGGAACCTAGAGGCCAGAGCTGGAGCACAGACCGTGGAGGAACGCTGCTTACTGGCTTGCTCCCCTGGCCCCTGCTCAGCCTGCTTTCTTATGCAACCAAGGCCCACCTGCCCAGGGGTGGCACCACCCACAGTGGACTGGGCCCTCCCACATCACTCATCAAGAAGATGCCCCACAGACATGGCCACAGGCCAGTCCAATAGAGGCAATTCCCTGATTGAGGCTCCCTCAATCCAGGTGTGTCAAGTTGACACTAAAGCTATCCAGCACATAGGATCTTTCTATAACCCCAGCTGGCCTGGAACTCACTGTGTAGACCAGGCTGGCCTAGAATTCACAGAGATCTGCCTGCCTCTACCTCCTAAGTGCTGGGGTTACAGGTGTGCGCTGTGCCCGGTTAAATGGTAATCTTAACAATTTGTCTGTTTCAGTTGAATACACCAGACTTGGCTTTTCTCTCTTCTACAGATATTTCCGGAGACAATCACCTTGTAAGTTCAGCTATTTTTCTTCCATATACTTATGGTAAACATGAGAAACTGACTGAGAAAAAGCAACCTTTTCAAGCTCAGTCCTCCACCCTCCTTGGTTGGCCTTTGCAAAAGACAAAAATAAATAAAGACTAACTTCTCTTAAATGTTTCAAAACAAAATAATTAAAATTCCTGAGAAAACAGCAATGAAACTTTGAGTTGTTTCCTTTATTTTTTTAATGGTTTGGGGTCTATCATGGGAATAGCTGTGTAGTTTGATTCTGTCCTCAGTAGGTGGAATGATATCAGGGCCTGTGTCAAGTGTGAACCCCTGTCATAAAACAAGCATGAAAAAGACAGTTTTCATTGTACTGGGCTTGAATTTTTCTCCTAAGAAAAACATCAGGGATGGTGGCTAACTAGACTATGTTTATTTGTTTATTTATTTTATGTGAACAAATGCTTTGGATGAATGTATGTAAGTACACCCATGTGGGGGCAATGCCTGCAGAAGCCAGAAGAGGGCATTGGATCCCCTAGAACTGGAGTTAAGGGCAGTGGTTAGCCTCCATATGGGTGCTGGGAACTGAACCCAGCACTGTTGAATAGCCAGTGCTCTTAACTGTCGTCTCTCCAGCCCCTAACTAGACTTCTAAGAAAAGTATAACTATTCTGATGGGGCTCAGCAGTTAAGAGCACAGACTGCTCTTTACAGAGGACCTGGGTTCCATTCCTAGCACCCACATTGCAGCTAACAACTGTCTGTAATTCTAGTTCCAGGACATCCAACACCCTCTTCTGACCTCCGTGGGTACTGCACAACATGGGTGTACTTACACACATACAGGCAATAAATACACTCATACACATAAAATAAAAATAATAAATAAAATTTTTCCAAAAAAAAAATCCTCTATTTTGAAAGGGATCACTTTCAAGCAGACATGAAAAAGAAACACCCAGAATCTTCCACCCCACCAGTTTAAGTGATTTGGTCTCTTTCCCTACATTCAAGTTGTAAGAGAAATAAAACAGTCCCAGGTCCCCCCAGTAAAAATACTGATTCACTCTACCCAAAAGACCACTACAGCATCTCCTTCTGGCCTGGGGGTAGGCAGCTCATTTCTCAACAGAAAATGGTAAGAGAACGCTGTCCATCAGCACAACTGCCCACACACTTGGAGCAATCAGGGACATCAACAGCAAGCTTAGAATAAGCAGGCCAGCATTGTAGGATTCCACTTACATGAAATGTTCATGACAGACACATCTATAGGGAGAGGGTGTCGATCAGTGACTGCTAAGGGGTGAGATGGAGAGGGTTGACTGCCAGTCACCAGAAGGGGTCATTTTGGAGGTGAAGAATATGTTCTAAGATTGGGTTTTAGTGAGGATCCTATACTTATGTATTAGAAGTCATTGAATTCTAGTCTTTAAATGAATGGATTAAATAATTAAATTATTAAATAAATTACACCGATTACAACTAAATAAAGTTATCTTTAAAAACCGATATTGTAGTGGCATGTGGTGGTGCCCACGTTACTGGGGAAGGCCGAGGCTGAAGGATTGTGAGTTCGAGGCCATCGTGACTGCAATGAGGTCAAAACAAACGACCTCCTACCAGGAAAGTAAGAGCAGTCCAGGTCTGGGGTGGCTCCTCGGCTAAGTTGCAGGTCTACCACTAACTTTCTCCATGTCCTCCCACAAAGAGTGACTATAGTAGACCTGGGGAGGGTGGGCAACACAGCACCAATCTAAAATTCAGTGTAAGCACGTCAGACACCGGTCTGAGACTGGAGGCTTGGGACACTTCACGAAGAACAGCCGGCCAGGGGCCAGGTTTTCCATCCCAGAGCATCCAGCAAACGCCGGCTGCTTCCGCTTTACAAGTAGGAACTGTTTCCACCCGGCACCAAGTTGGAAGTTTTGTTCTCAGGACCAGGTGGTTCTGCCGGGGCCGCGGCTGCCGCGGCCTCCCGGGTCCAGGTGTAGCCGTCGGGGAGGGTCCACGCGGTCACCCAGGCCGTGCACCCGGCACCTCCCAAAGCTCCGGGCCGGGTTCCCTGCGTGCCTCCCCTGGGAGACGCGGCGTCCAGATGGCCAGCCCCGCAGGGGGAGGTACGGGCCAGCTCTGGGGTCTCCGGGGGCCGAGGGCGGAGCTGCCGGGAACAGGGTACCGCTCCGGCCCCGCCCGACCCCCGCACAGTGCTCATGCGCGCCGCGAGCCTTTATAGCGGCTGCTGAGCCGCGCTGCCCGCACTCGGTCGCAGCCGGGCGGATCCACGCAGGTGCGGGTCGGGTCCCTGTCTCTGCCTGTCAGTCTGTGTCTGTCTGTCCGTCCGTCCGTCCGGGTCCCGGCGTCCTCCCCACGCCAGGGGCCAGGATACCCAGCGTGCCTGGGGCTCCTTCACCCGCAGCGCATCGCGCTCACAGCTTCGCTCCCCCATAGGTCCGCGCAGCCTCGCCACCATGCCCGCGTCCTGGACCCGCGCTCTCTGCCTCGGTGGGTATGCGCCCTCCCCGGTCCGCGCACCCTCCCGGGTCCCCGCGCCCACCCCGGTCCGCGCACCCTCCCCGGTCCCCGCGCCCTCCCCGGTCCCCGCGCCCTCCCCGGTCCCCGCGCCCTCCCGGGTCCCCGCGCCCTCCCGGGT